GAGAGAGAGAGAGAGAGAGAGAGAGAGAGAGAGAGAGAGAGAGAGAGATATCTGTTACAAAGAAGCTCAGCTACCTGCCAGGTAGATCAAGAAATCTAGGGACAGAGAGTAAGCCAGTGAGACCCGTGAGGCCACCCCCAACATGGCAGCAATGAGTACCCTAACCAGATAAACACAGGGAGTAAACACCCTGACCAGCCAAACATACAGTGTTTTGCAGGGAAGCTTCGCTTTCTGCCAGGCTCAGACGCATCTGAGAGATGAGCCTGCTCGTATCCTGAGCTCGGTTCTGATACTGACTGCCCAGGGCCCGAACCCTGTCCGCGGTCATCTTGAGGTCATCCAGGCGGTTCCGATAGCTGTTCTCTTGGCTCCTTGCCTTGGCCAGCTGGAGACTGAGGGTTCTCTTGGCAGCTGTACACAGAAGAAGAACAAGGCTGTCACAGATGGACTGAGTCAACCCCCAAGGCCGACCGACTGACTTAGAGCTAATGAGAAGAACGCCAGGGATGGATGGTTGTGGCAGTTCTTTCGCCTGTCATTCAGGTACCAGGAGGATGTCCCAGACAGTACTTCCACCCCGGCAAAGGCAGGATGCCGATAGCACAGAGCTGACGGCCACAACAGAGTCTGTGACCGAGCGTCACAGTTCTTCCTAGGGCATGAATCTCTAGCCTCCTAGCTGATAGGCCGTTGGCCTTCCTCACCTTCTGACATCTGGGCTTCTCTCAGAATGTCCCGAAGGGCCTGCTCAGCCTGCTGCAGCCTGCCTTCCAGCTCTCCACTGGGGACTGCGCCGCCGCCACCACCACTCTGAGCCTTCGAAACCAGGGCCTCCAGACCCTGGAGCTGCTGGGTAAACTGGCCCATCTGAAACCACAGAGGAAAGGAATCAGAATAGAGGATGAGGGGCAGAGTTCATCCCCAGAGCTGCAGCAGGGGCCGGCAACTAGACATGATTTGTTATGGTGGTTGAAATTTAGACCCTTTCACTAGACCTACTGGGTGTGGATCCTGGCCCACTACTCTAGCCAGTGACCTTGGCCAGTCATTTTCTTATCAATAAAATGAGGGTAATAAAAAAAATACCATCTGTATGGTTCTTTCTTGCACTGAATGAGTTAGTGTTCATAAGGGCTGAACAGAGCCTGGCATCGGGAAATGTTTAGAAAAGGTTATTGAGGGCTGGAGAGATACAGCTCAGTGTCAGAGTGCTGGCCCAGCAGACATGAGGTTCAGTTCTTACTACTACACCAAGTGAAAATAAAATATATAGTTTTTAGCAAGATGTGGTGGAACACACCTGTAATCCCAGCACTTGGGCTACAGAAGCAAGGGGACCATGAGCTCAAAGTGACATCCTCAGATTCCATAGTGAGGCTAAGGCCAGCCTGGGCTACATGAGACCCTCAGACTAGCTTTCTACAGGCTATTAAATAGCTAAATGTAAACAAACAAATAAACAAAGAGATTAAGGGATGTAATTAAGGGATGCAGAGATGACTCCGCAATAGAGACCGTGTATTGCTTTGGAAGAGGATCTGGGTTCAGTTCCCAATCCCGCATGATGGCTCACAACCATCTGTAACTCCAGTTCTAAAGGATCTGATGCTTTCTTTGGTTCTCTGTGAGCACCAGGCACACATGAGGTATACAGACATACATGCAGGTAATATACCCATATACATTTGAAAAAAAATAATTAAAAAAATTTTAAATCGTTCCCTCTAGAAAATAATTATTAGTGATTAATAATATCAAGTTCATTCACCTTTGAAGTTTACATTTTAATTTCATTTTGTCATTTTATTTTTTGATACAGGTTCTCATCTGTAGACCAGGCTGTTCTGAAACTTACTAGTTAGCCCAGGAATGCCTGAAACTCTGGGCAATAGTCTCAGTCTCCTGCATGCTGGGATTATACACGTGAGTCACCATGATCTGCTCTGGAACTTGTTTTATAAGGACATGTCTTGGAGTTGGAGGGAACCCAGCTGGAAAGTAGCGCACTGCAATGGTGTCTCCCTTTGCTTTCTGTTGCTATGATAAATATGACCAAAAGCAACCTGGAGAGGAGAGGGTTAATTCACCTTGCTGCTTACAGTCCATAATAAAGGGACGTCAGAACAGGGACTCCAGGCAGGGCCTGGAGCAGAAGCTATGGAGGAACACTGCTCACTGGCTTGCTCTCCAGGCCTTGCGTGGCCTGCTTCCTTATACAGCCCAGAACCACTTGCTCAGAGCCGGCACCACCCATATCAATCATTAATTAAGAAAATGTCCCTCAGACTCGCCTCCAGGCAGTCTTATGGAGGCATTTTCGCAGCTGAGGGTATTCATTCCAGGGGACTCCAGTTTGTCTCAAGTTGACCAAAAAAAAAAAAAAAAAAAAAAAACAAAACCCTAACCAGGACACGTGGAAAGAGCCCTGGACTCAGACTCTGGGGGGACATGAGTGGCATTCTCAGTTTCATGTGGCCATGCCATTTTGAAAAATCACAAGTATTTTCAGACAGTAACCCTTGAAAACTGAATCCAGAATACTTTTCCCTCCAGGTTCACTAAGTTGTCATGAATACCACATGAGACTGGATCTGGTGGAAGATGTTGAAATTAGCACAGATGAGAATGTAAACCTACTGTAAAATTATTATACACAATACTTTTTAATGTAATTTAAACTTGTTTTTACTGTATTTAGTGTGTGTGTGTGTGTGTGTGTGTGTGTGTGTGTGTGTGTGAGTGTACACGCATACCAGGGTGAGGACAACGTCCTGGAGGGAGTTGATTTACTCCGTTCATCTTTACGTGGGTTCTGGGGATTGAACTCTATCCACTGAGCCATCTCACCACCCATAACATAATTTTTTTTTTTTTT